TCCTTCCATTTCAATATAAATGCTTGCACAGTGCTCCTTGAGATGTTTAAAGCTTGGGAAATCTTTTTGTATCCAAATCCAGCTTTAAACTTAGTATCTCGGACCTGCCTGGTGTGTTCCTTTGTCTTCATGGTTCTCTCTGCGCTTTAAACAGAACCCTGAGACTATCAAAGAGCAGGTGCATTTATACGGAGACTTGATTACACACAGGTGCATTCTATTTATCATCATCAGTCATTTAGGACAACATTGGATCATTCAAAGATCCTCACTGAACTTCTCAAATGAGTTTGCGGCCGAATAAAACTTTTCAGTTTTTTATTTGTCAAAACAGTTTAAATTATCCAATAAATTTCGTTCCACTTCACGATTGTGTCCCACTTGTTGTTGATTCATGACAAAAAAATAATAATTTTATATCTTTATGTTTGAAGCCTGAAATGTGGCGAAATGTTGAAAGGCACTGTAATTATTTGGGCTGAGAGCTGAGTTTCCTTTTCTGTCTGAAAAAGCTGAAAATCCAAGCATGTGAACCTAGTGATTGAACCAAACTATGTTGAAAGCTAACAAATTAGATATCCCAGCTTTATGAAGCTGAAGGCGCAAATTCAGACAGAAAGACCGAGTGCAAATTCCCTTCCAAGCCAACCAATCACACAGCGCTGCCAGCCTTGAGCCCTGCCAATCACACAGCTCTGCCAGCCTCGAGCCTCTGCCAATCACACAGCCAGCCTCCTGCCAACCCTCTGACATCAAAGCGGGCAGTTTAAAAACAGCCACTTCCTGACAAGCAGCGCTTCCTGAAGCTCTTAACACCCACCACATCCCCAGCACCTCCTCCGGCTCCCGCTCTAGGCTCCCGCTCTGGCTCCCGCTCTAGGCTCCTGCTCTGGCTCCAGCTCTGGCTCCTGCTCCGCCCCATTCCCCATACTCTAGCCATACTCTAGCCACCATCAGTGCTTGACCCCGGAGGATCTGAGATCATCTTCAGCTGCAATCGATCTCATCGCAAGTGTAACTGCCAGGGTCAATGCGCAAAATGAATATATTATTTGAATGTATTAATTGTGTCTTTGGTCTCTTCAGATTGAATATAAGCAATAGACACAAAACAATTATGTCTATATGATCTATGACACCAGGGGCTATTTTCATATTTTTAAAACATTTGGAAACTGTATCTAAAACAATGAAACAAAAGAAACCATGGTCCATCTGTCAAAGGACCTACTCAGGTGGCTGATGAAGTTGACAATCATCAGTTTTTTACATTTGGGCAAAAACGCCTGTGCAATGCTGCCAAATTCAGAAAATAATTTGTCAAACAAAGTAAGGGGAAACTATGGTGTCTAATTGACATTAATTGTTTTGTTTTTTATATGGATCCCATTAGCTGAAAGCAATCAGCTCTTCTTCATGGGTCCATTAATTATAAAAAAGACAAAAGTTACAAACACAGATTTACAACCAAGATGAAGGCACACTTTAGACCATTCAGAGATAAACCATGGAACTTTAAGACACAATCTATCCCTGTAAGAATGCTTTTCTTTCTAACCCATCTATAAAGCTACCGTTGCTGATTATGTAAGAGGGGAAGAATTACCATCCGTTCCACCTTTATAGTTCAAAACATTTAAACTCTATAGGTACAATAATCCAACTTGTTATGCGCCATCTTTAAACATTTACAAAACACAGTGATTACCTCCAAGCCTGTGTTCTCCTATTATCACCACATTATCCCCAACACAACTGCCCTGGATAGAGCCAGCAGACCCCCTGACATTAACAGACTAACATTAGATTCTAACAGGAGTGGTAATAGCAGTATAATGGGACTAATGGTGAGTGATTTCCTCTCATTAATGCCACGGACTGATGTTATCTACAGTTGTACCACACACACTCACATTATGGACAAAATGTGTTTACCAGCTCAAAAAATACTGCAGCTGCATCTATTAGAATGAAGGCTTGAAAATTTGTGATAATGGGAAAATACATGCATTCTAGGGATATGTAATCACTTTTCTTCAGAGATGTTTATGGGTGATGAGGGGGCTAGTACAAGATGTAGTCTTCAAGGAGTGACGTCTTTGGACAACAGGTTTATTTATAGGGGTATTTCCTTGGATACTGGAGCTGCTTTAGCGAAGTTGTCAGATGAACTACTGTGCCAGCTGCATTTGTATTTGCACAACAGCAAAGTTGGGAGTAAACTGGGATAAGCCTTACCTATAGGCTCAGACTGGACAGTTGCATGGCAAAATGAAAATGAATTAAAAACTTTGTCCAAATCCAGATCAAACCAATAAAAATGTGAACGAGCTCTTTGCATGCATGTAGAAAGGAGTCCAATCTGTAAGGTTCCATAAAACAGAATATTGTATAAAAATAAGCCCGACCCTACACTTCCAGCTGGGTTAATGTTCCAGAAAGATTAAACATTAAAGGGGACATAACATGCCTCTGTCTGCTATATACATATGATCAACAGAAACATTTGTTTATCTTTAACAACTATTTTGTTCAGTTTGATTCAGTTCCACCGAAAGGCTCCACCCCCTTACACAACATCAGTAAAACGTGGTAACATCGAAGGCACTGCTCTCCCGCAGAGTGAGTTGAGATGCACAGAATATATAGTGCGCAAAGCCGGGGAACAATCTGCTTATTAGTAAGTAAGTAAAAGCAGTGGGATTCCAAATAAAAACTACAAATACATGAGAAAAAAAGCAGATTCATATTTTATATCCCCATTAAAATGCAAACTGTATGGAAAACCTTATCTAAAACTATTTTGTAAGATAAGAATAGACATTTATCACTGCCACAAATAACAATAAGTCATCTGGCTATGCAACGTAGAGTGTGATACTACATAATATAGAAGCTTACAATCAAAGCAGCTCTATGTGTTGGAAGAATTCAGCCAGATGAGAGAAATCAGTCTATCTATCTATCAGACGAATACAGTTTTCCTAGACTGCAGGCATATGGCCTTTTTAACCGTTTTGATCTGAATCTGCACAAATCTCTTTAAATCGACCTAATAATATCATTCAGTTAATTCCAGCAACAGATTTTGGCCGCACACTCTTCTCTGTAGCCGAGCCAACGTCCAGTCAGAAGCAATCCATTGTGAATAATTCTCCATCTGGACTTGTGCCACATCATTATAACTATATCTCATTATATCTGCCTTAGTCCTAGGGGGTCCTCCTGTCTTTTGGAGCCGGGAGACACCCTGAGGACAAAGACACATGTCCAGTCTGTTTAATCTGTCCAGCAGCCTGTGCGATTAATAGAGAAATAGTTGCGAGGATTTGGCTGACGCTTGGGTCCATCCATCAAAGTGACAAGTCGCATTCAACCAATCACAGCGCGGAATTCAGTTAGATTTTCAATTATGATCTTGTGCCTGCTGTGTTTAGGTAGAAGAAGAGATAGGAGGATAACGTTAATGTGGGGTTAGATTCAAGAGAAAAAAGGGTAATGGTAAGTGGGGTTGGACTTTCTAGTGCAACCATGGAGTAGTAGAGAAGAGGAGCACAGTGATTGAATTTGAACCAATAATAAGGTAACGTGGTAAACTTTGAGGTTAAAAGTTCAAGTTAAATTTTAAGTTAATCAAGCTGTATAAGTCGTGATCATAATATAACATGAGAGAACCTTTATTCATCCCACCAGGAATTTAACCAGGAAATTACCAATTACTTTTGCAAGGTATTCTTGGGAGTTCTACTACAGTACAGGCACTAAGAATAGAAGAAGCATCTAAAACAAGATCAGTGAGAGAAAAAACAACTTTTTGGGATAAAAAATACTTTTGTTAAATTTTTGTTTCTGCTAGGCTCCCGCACTGTCAGTTTGTCACAAAGACAAGACCAAGTGTGAGTTTGTTTTATCAACACAGTAAGATTTCCACGTCTTTTATACGCACCTATTGGGTACAGGTGCGGAGCTTGTCATATTTTAGATTTCTGGTACCAAATAAAACCAAAACTGATACAGAAAAAAGCTGTTGCTCAGAGCTGGTGCATAGAACAATGTGATTTTTTTTTTTAACGCATTTTAAACATCTACTTGTCTAGATACATGTCAATTAGAAATGGCAGAGCATCACCTGCACTGATTTTCTTTAGCTCAGCATGTGGAGTGTGCTGATAAGAACTTCAGTCACAGATAAGTATGAAATCAACCAAGCTTTGTACAGGCCTAAAACTAATCCAAAACAGTGGTTTAGCTGTACTTTTACATCTTTTACTTTTCACCTTTGCCACAAACATTCATTGTATTAAAAGGCATTATGATGACAAAAGAAGGACAGGACAAATGCTTTTGAGCACGGTAAGCACTACAATAATGCAGCGCAGTCAAGGCGCGTGGTGTGAAGAGGTTGGATGTGTGAGAGGGGTGAGAAGAGGCTGTCAGCAGCAGCAGCTCAATATGACTACAACACTCTACAATATGCACCAGGCACCACACTGAACCAGCCCCACCACTCCAATGTGTTAAGATGACTAATTCTACCACGTTTTCTGCAACGAAGGCGTGGAACTTGCACAAAAAGAGGCATACAGAAAAGAAACAAAACAAAAGCAGAATTCAGAATCAACAACTTTTGAGAAGCAAAATTAACAAACCGCATAATCACCAAGCAATGAACCAAGCAAGAAAATTAAGACAAAAACAATATATATAATAAAACTTCTATAGAAACCATGCCCAAAGAGGGACAAATCTTGCTTCTAAACAAGGTATGGAACTAAACCACTAAACTTAAAACCAGTCGGCACTAAACAATAATAAACTATTTAAACAGACAATCTCAATGCCCAGCTATGCTTAGAGGTTTAGCTTGAAACAGACTGAACCAGAACTAGACAGAAACTAAATCCGGAATAACTGAAGATCAAACAAAATCTGAACAATCTATAATCCGACCTGTAACTCGGGCTAAAATAGCACCAGTTCGTTACTGTGTGATTTCTTACCTGAGTACGAGAGCTGCAGTCTGGGTTGAGATGCTTTCCATGCCTGGGTGCAACTCCACACCTGGATCCAGCAGACTAAAAAAATCAGTCTACCTCCAGTTCCCATCTTCAGTTGGGAGATTTAGTCCAAATCTGCAAAAAATTGGAAAATCCTGCTTTGTTTTTTTTTTCTCTAAAGCAATCAATATTAATCCTTGAGGTGTATAAAACAAAATTAAAAAGACTACGTCCAGTTTAAATGGTAGTGAATAAATGTAAAGTCTGGTCTAGTCCACATTTGTTAGGATGAATGAAAGAAATACTCTCAAAAATATCAATATTTGAATAATTCTTTTTTTCAATGGTCAAACAGGATTATTTTTTTAAATTATGCGTTCTTTTGAATAAAATTGGCGCAGGTTGAGCCAGCATGAGAGCTCTGAGTGGAGTGGGAGGTTTTGGGCAGAAGCTGTGTATACGAGCCTCTCTCTCTTTTGGTGAAGAGAGGAGCGAGTGAGAGGAGCGAAGACACGGGTGAAGCGAGAAGGAGGGGGGCAGATACATGCGCTGAAGCGGGCGGCTGTGTGTTTTAGGACGGGCAAAGATTTGTGGTAAGAGTGAGTAAAGAATTGTCATGTATAAAGTAAACAAAATGAGTCAAAACCGCAAGTAAATTAAGCTATTCCTGCAACATTGTTAAAACCAACCTCAAAGGGATGAAGCTTCCTAAATACAGTATGAAAGGGAGTTTGGAAATATCTACCATATAAATGTGCCTAATTTACCGAAACATCATAGAAATACATTTGTTCACAAGTGGGGCAAGGATTAGAATGGCAGGAGTATCTGTGCAAACGTCTTCACTGCTGTTGTCACTAAATCAGTCAAATACCATTTACATCTTGATCATTCCTGTCAGGAACTTTGGATAACGACAGAAAGAACAAAATCGCAGAGGCAAGCTGTTGAAATTGGTTTCTGCTGGGTGTTAAATCTTACAGGAGGTGCTGGGAGTTGAGCCTGGCAGGTGATCCGGGCAGGTAAAGACCCAGGACTCGCTGGGTGAACTTTGCGGCTAAGAAATATCTGCAGTTGAGGCTGGAGGAATAGGAAATAGGAAATAGCATGTTTAATCATGGTCTCATCACTGCAGTAATGAAATGGTCACTAATCAAGCCAATATGTTTTGTGATTTGTGTTTGCTCACTGCTGCTCACTTCTCCTGCCACGTTCTCCCCAATATCACTGAAGGGTCGAACTACATGAACAACACATTTCCTATGGGGACAATGCAGTACAGCTGTTACAGTATGTCCATAATGATCTTATTATATTGTATGGGATATTGCTGCAGCTGCATTAATATTGCAACAGCACCTTGTTCAAACTCTAATAGCATCACCTGTTTATACATTCTCCTCTTGTTTCTCAGTTGAAATGCACGGGTTCCGATACAACCGCTTTCTTTGTTCTGTCTTTATTTCCTCAGAGACTTTAAGCACAATCTTCGCTGTGTTCTGTTGTTTTCGAGCTCATCTCTCACCATTATTTCTCTTGTTTTGGTCCTAACCCAAATACAATCATTAAAAAGCTCCATGTGTTGTCGATGCAGTGAATTTTTTACACGGATTCTTCAGTTCAGTCCAAGGCCAGCACCAGCGCCACATTATTCCTCTGCGCAGATAAATAATGAATTCAGGTTGGCATTAAATGAAACTCGCTCGAAGGATTCCTCATAACATCATCCATTAATAACTATAAGCTTTTGGATATTTAACACGGATGCATATTTTAGCATTGGAAAAGGGTGAGGTAACTATAATTGATCATTTTAATTTTGTGTTGAGGAGATGGTTAAAGTCAATGATTCCACTCTACCTGAATATTACATATTAGCCGTTAACATGGTAGGTATTAGTGCAAAGTGCTAGATAAATAAATATTACTTAATCACATTCTTCATAACTTATAAGGTATGAAGAATGTAATTAAGTAATATTATTGTAGGAATGATTTTAAATAATAATTTTAAATGTATCACCATACAGTGGCGACAGTGGCTCAGTTGGTGGAGCATTGGTGTTGGTCTTTGGGCCCGAAGGTCGTGGGTTTGAGCCCACTACAAGACCTACTTCACAACTCCCACCGATGACTGCTGTCGTTGTGTCCTTAAGACACTTAACCCCACTTTGCCTGAAGCCCCTGCTGAAAGATCAACACTCCTGTGGACTCGCCACCTGCAGGAGGATCAGTGAGGGGCTGGTGCTTTGTGTACTGGGTACAGCTCTGACTGCCACCCCCCCGACCCAGAAATCAATTAAGGGGAAGAAAATGGATGGATGGATCACCATACATGCCTATTGTTGTCTGGTATTTGAACGTATAAACAGGTGATGAGTTTGTGTAAGCTCTCAGTTGCACAGGGATTATTCAAAACAAAGGAAGGTTGCTCACCCAACATCTGTTCTTCAGTTAGCAGGTTTTCCAGACGTTTCGTTCTCAATCCAAAAAACCTCCTCAAGGGAATGAAAGCTCAGCTGCGAGTTGGAGATTTATATACACAAGTATACAATATTCATACTGGCATTACAATACACAGTATTGTAATGCCAGTATGACCCAGCCAGGCCTAACATCCAGTTCTTATATAAATAGAAATACTGTATACTGCTTTTCTGTAGTCTACAGAGAGCTAATTAATACAATTATTTATAACTAGATATCAGATCAAAGTATTGTGATCTTAAATCTGGGTTAAGAATGGCTGCAACAAAAACTGATTTTACACTATTATTGTTACACAATGGCGACCCTAGTTCTCTTAATTGAACATCAACTTTTGTCACAATCTAAATATTGGAAGTATCAAGTTACAGAATCTTCATATGTACAATACAATAATACAACAGCACAATTTTGAGCCGTGCTGATGTCTTCCAGCCTCACTCCTACTTTACTTACTAATGTTTCATCTTGTGCTCTTCATCCTGTGAGATTTATGTAATATAATAGCATCTAGTCTGAGAGCGCAAATATTTACAACACCATAATTCAGAGTTTAAAAATGCACGACTCTGGGAGATTCTTCGCTAACCACAGCTTTATCAAGTTATTGCCTCCAGCTCAAAGCTGGGGTATGTGAACTAAAAACAATTTGTTCTAATATATTTGTTACATCTGTAATACAATTTTTATCACTTGTTTTCACATCTTTCACATTTTCAGACAAAAAAATGAAAGAGAAAGAACCACCCTCACTCAGCCAATCAGCTCTCAGCCCAAAAAGATGCAACATTTCACTTCTACAAAACTGTTTCTGTTGGGACAAACAACATCATTTGAAAATGTAAGTGCACCACCTTCAATAAGTTAGTTACTAAAGTTTTTACACTTACCTCCTCAAGAACATCCCTGTTTGATTTCCGGACCAAGCAGCCCTCGTACTGTGCAGAGTTAGGTTGTGTTATTTTTGTTCTTGAGTTAACAAAACCATGGTAAGTGAAGTAAGTTGCAATTAGATAAATGACTCCGTAAAATGTCTGTAAAAACAATTTGCCTTTTGGATTTTGAAAAACCTTGTAGTTTACAGTATGTTTGTACACAAAACTAATGTGATGGGTTTGTACATTACGATTATTTTGATAATCAAATGGTTGGACAATGATTAATTTGATTAATCAATTACTGTAGTCGATTTGATCCTTAAAGCTCAGTCAATATTGATTTGTGTTTTTCTTCTCAGCAAGAAGGTCCTGGGTTTGAATCCCGGTCGGAACAGGGCCTTTCTGAGTGGAGTTTGCATGTTCTCCCCGCGTTGCGTAGGTTTCCTCCGAGTGCTCCGGTTTCCCCTACCACTAAAAACATGCACAATAGGTATGAAAGTGAATGGATGGTGTTGATTGGGGGCTGATGCACCAGTGTGTTCGGCAACTCGCTTCCGTTAACACCGAGTGGGGAATGATTGGAACGATATCTGAACTCTGAACATTGTGAACCGCTTGGTCTGTAAAATGGGCAACATAAATAAACATTACTTACTTACTTACTTACTTACTTACTTTTTGTTGATTAAGTCTATGTAAGGTTAAAAATGTACAGGCAATAAAATATCTCAAAAAGAATCATCCCTATAATGGGATTGAGTAAAGAGTGGAAGCAGCAGAGTATTTAAATATATTCCACTTGCAAATAAAGCTATTTAGTTCATGAATCAGTTTTATGTCTGTTTACGTTTCTAACCAGTGAACCAGGACAACGTCAAACTGAAACAAGGCAAAATGACCCGACTTCAGTGGAAAACAAAACAAAACTGTGGAGTAATTATATATCGCCTGCACCACCCACACGTTCAGAGAGTGTACTCAGCCCTGCAGAGTCGTTCATTAGAAGCTGAGATTTAGGGCGCTCTGCCAAACCCATCTGATCAGTGGGGTCATAATTACCACTAACGAACCTCCACAAAGGCCCTCTCTGCTCTGTGAATGGCTGACATGAATGAGAAGATTAGTTTGAGCGAGTTTGGATCATTATAAACGTTGCAAATACAATTTTTCTCCTCGAAAGTTTTGCACATGATTTAACAAACTGTAAACTGTGTTGTGGCTGGAGTTAAGACGAACGGACAGAACTTCTCCAGGCAAGTCTGACTCTTTTGTGTTCATAATAAACAATAGTGGAGTGTGTTCGCTGTGATATGGTTAGAGTCATGTGGAAAAACGAGCTGCATTACATAACTTTGAAATATTGGTTTTGGTATCAAATAATTATCATAAGTCATTATTCAGATGATTAGAAGTTATTTATTATATACTATTCATTATAGTTATTCCCTATTTTGCACTTTCTTTGCAATAGCGAGAAGACATGTGATATTTTCTTTAGAAGACAATACAATTTGAGCCAAATGTTGCTGTTTTTTTGTTTGTTTCAGTCTATGGCTTGAAAAAAATGAAATGAAAATGAAATGAAATGAAATGAGAAAGAGGGGCCGATTGTGAAGGCCAAGTGGGGAGTTATAATCAGTGACTTCAGTGTGGCCCTTTTAAATGCTAGAGAATCTTCTTAAAACGATTTATTGATTAACTAGTCAATTAGTTGAAATTTCCATCATCTTTAAATTGTGATAAATCGATTAACTTGTCACAGCTCTAATCCAAATGTGTCATCGTGTTTTCCATATTCATTCAATCACATACCTCTGTTAGTGCCACAATAACCATGACGTTTTCTCTCTTTCCATCCTTCTCTGGAGCTGTGGCCATAGTGGTTTAAAATATAATACAATTCCATGGCCCAAAAAGCATACTACACGTCTACAATAATTAGTAAAATTGTGTTTTCAACGCAGTAGATATGTCAGGTCAGGTTTTCCAGGCGCAAATCTGATTCATCTACTGTAAAAAAGCTGCACGTGCTAATACACTTTATGTGCACTTTAGCTTTATTATGGAAATGTAATAAAGTTGTTATAAAAGATATCAACGTTTTCTCACCTGAAATAGTTGTAGATCAGGATAATGATACATAGCTAATGTAAAGGTAACACACATAACACTTAAAGCGATGATTTTGACCTGAGAAATGAAAAGTTTGAATGCTTCGTGAAGTCCATCGTTGGAGTCTACTGCCACCTGCTGGCTTCTTTGTGCCAATACAACATCAAAAGTGGTGTTGTGTTTTTGACCAATCAGCGTGAAGCAGTGGCTTGTTCCCGGAAGTGGCCCCAGCAGCTTTAGAAACATGTGAATCACCAGATTTTGCAGCAGTTGTATGTGTTTAAATCTTTGCCAACTTCAGCTATAATCTATAAGCTAAAAAGAAGAAGCTGAAAAAGCTGAGCTAAGAAGTTGAGACAATATCCATTCTATTTTGAGATATGTTAAAATGCCCACAACAAGCCCTGGTTTATAGATTCCAGGCATCTGCTTTAATGTCATTGTACCATAACTTTTGAACAATGACCGGAGCATCGCAAATGGAGACTGCAGCTTTGGTTGCTCCTGTCACAGCCCTGGAGTTCATTCAAGACGAGCTTCTGCTGTCAGGTTGGTACAATGATTGCTATAGAGTGCATACTGACATATTCTGTTTATCATGTTATCTGCTCTGGTCTATTTTTTTATCCATGATTCTACTTTTATAAACGACATTCCTCTTTCTCCCGTCCTGACAGGTGACGGTCCAGTGTTGACAGTTTACAGTCTTCCAACTTGTCCTAAAAGGACCTCTGCATTGATTGTGCTCCAACACCAGAGAATTCATGGGATACGGCCGAGAGAATTACAGCAAGGAGGTAATGCACAATGTGGTAAGATTATTTAGTTATGAAGAACATTAGGTTCATTAGTTGGCTGCAACATGTTAGTCGAAGATGCTGAATACATATAAAGTATTTATTATGTGATACTGGGATGTAGCTATCTCTCAACAAAGCTCTTAATCAATACACCAAAAGTTTTCTTCACTATTACAAAATGATTGACGTGTTGTCTGCACTATCTTAGCAATTGCTCATGTTAATCATGTGTAATGTGTCATATGGACATTTTCAATTTCTTTGCCTTCCCTTATTACCATGACAACATGTTTGTGATTTACTCCAGAAAAGACATCAGTAGCTGTCAGATACTTTGCAAGAATTCCCACGATTGTGCAGTATTTAATTGAATCTGTTGTTCCTGTTTGTTCCATTAGGACAGACCAACACTGTTTACAACTTGGCAGTGTTTGGTGGCAAAGCTGTACGTCTTGTTCAACTTGACGTCTTGGACCCTCCTCAATTAAAAAATAATGGTGAAATTATGGAGCTCCCAGACTGGATCCTGGACATACGGTGGATGTCTGAAGATTCTCGTCCCCTCCTTTGTGTCGCTTTAGCCCACAATGCTGCACTTCTCCTGGACACTGAAACAAAAACCACCATCTACCATCGATCATGCTTCGAAGGCTGTCTTCTTTATTCTGCTCTGATTTTACCTCACAAATCTTGGTCCAATACTGTGCTAATTGGAGGAACTGTTTTTAATCAACTCGTTGTTTGGAAAGCAGGCTGTGCAGCAGAGAAATCTGAATCAAAAGCCCCTGTTGAACGCCGCTTATTGGGTCACAGCGGAGTAATTTTTGACATTTCATATTTTCAAAAACAAGGACTTCTCGCATCTGCCTCGGATGACCGAAGTGTCAGAATTTGGAAAGTTGGAAATTTAAGAGGACAATGTGGTGAGCAGAATCCAATTTGTTTACATGTTTTGTATGGTCATGAAGCGAGAGTGTTTTCTGTGAAGCTTTTGGACACCATCGTTGTCAGTGCTGGGGAAGATGGCGCTTGTTTGATGTGGGATAACGGAAAGGTTGTGCAAACATTGAAAGGGCACAGAGCTGGAGGTGTGCGCTCTCTTGCAGTTAGCTCAGAAAGTTGGGAAAAAGATGTTTTGGTGGCATCAGGTGGGGCAGATGGAGGAGTTAGATTGTGGAAGCTTGGAGTAAAGCAAGATCGAGTGGAGGACATTGAAGAGAATTTAAAAGACCTAAAGTTTCCTGTGAACATAATGGACACAAAGGAGGCAAAGAAACAAAAGAGACTAAAGTCAGAAAAGGCAAAAAATCCACAAAGCGCAGATTTTAAGTTATGTGAGTCAGCAGTTAAAACTTCAAATAAAACTGATAACCTTAAAATTGCTGAAACTTTAGTGGATGGACAAGAAGTGCGCCCAAGGAATCACGAGAACCAAGAACAAAGTTATCTTGAAACAACGCAAGCTTTAAGCAATTTAGACACAGAAATAGCGGCTGAACACACAGTTAAGAAGAGCATTGTTGGTGTCCCTAAAGTGATTTGCGCATTAGATTCTGAAAACTCAGCTTGGAACTCTTGTAGATTTATCGTTTGCACGGATAAAGGAGAAGTCTATGAATACAGCAATGAAAAATGGCAACGACTTTGGCAAGGAACCCCTGAATTTCAATCTTACTGCGTGATGGAAGCAGTGAGTGTCCAAATGAAAGACTCTCTTGTTCATTTGTGTGCTGTGGGTAACATTATTGGATCCGTGCAGATATTTCCAATTTTGAATCCAAAAGGTGGAATGTGCTTAGCTGCAGGGAATGGGAAAATTCATAGTTTAATATGGCTGAAAGGAAGCTTGGATGCGGGTGCTTGGTTGCTTGCCTCTGGGGGTGATGGTCTGGTTTATCGCTGGTATGTAGAAGTGATGGAAAGCGAAAATCTTGGATTGAAAGTAGAAGAATTAATATCTTTTGAAGTACCAAATTGTGCCAAAAGATGGTTGACGACAGCAGTAAGAGTTGAACTTGGAGAAGATGCAATCTGGGTGTGCGGAGATAGAAGAGGTTCACTACTTTTGTATCAAGAAAAGGGAAAGTATTCTAAGGATGAAGGCCTAATGCAAGGTTCCCCAGAATTAGCAGAAAGTCTAACTAACAAAGTAATTGAAGCTTCAAGCAAAGACATGCTAAAACTATTCCCAGTTAGCACTCTGTTCGGTGTCCATGGGAAACAAGGAGTGACGTCTGTTGTCGAACATTCAGGCCTTTTTTACAGTGTGGGACGAGACGGATGCGTGAGGATTTTTTGTTCAAAAGTGTTGGAAAATGTGGAAAGTAATGTGCATCCTGAACAACCTATTCAAGAACATGTCTTGGAGGTCCTGAGAGTGCAAAGGGCTTGTAAAGGAATGGAGTGGCTTGAAAAAATATTGATTTTAGAGACAAAAACTGGCCATGAATTAGTGAATTTTGCGGAGAAAAGCCAAGAATCAACTGAATTGAAACAAAGCGATGTAAACAATATTTGTATTGCGACTCCTCAAAATGTGCAAGAAGTACGCTTTGCAATTGTCGGTTTTCACGGCAACCATTTTGTTGTGTGGGATCCAGTTCGTCAAGAAAGATTACTGTCTGTTCTTTGCGGAGGTGGGCACCGATCTTGGAGTCTTTGGACAGATGAAAAAGGCCACTGGACCGGAAATGGCGCGCTGGTTTTTATCAAGCAAGGCGCAGTTTTGGCATCAGAAAAAACGTTACAGGAAGCAAATGGCAAAATTGGTTGGACTCTTCGAGAGGGGGTGCACGGAAGAGGAATTGGGTGTATTCACAGGTTAGGTTGTGTTTTTAGTCAACAAAATGCATGCTGGGAGCTTGTTGTTACTGGCGGAGAAGATACCAGTGTCACTGTTTTGGCACTTAACCCAAAAAATGGTGACATGAAAGTGCTAACTGTTCTGACGGATCATATTTCGAGTGTGAGGGCATTGGCGGCTGTGGTGAACAAAGATGGCAGCAGGAGGGCCCTGTCGGCGCTCTTGGTGTCTGCTGGGGGGCGGGCTCAGATGCAGTGCTACCGGCTTCTGATTGGCTGTAATGAACAGGGAGGGGCTCCTTCCTGTCAGGTGATCCAGATTGCAGCACACCGATTAGACGACCAGTGGGAGAAGAAGAGGAACAGGCACAAGATGGTCAAAATGGATCCAGAAACTAGGTAATGGTGCAAACACACACAAATGTAAATCCCTATATGCCATTGTAATGTCTCTATACATGTAGCTGGGTGTGATAAATTGCATTTGAAAATATCATCTGGGGGAATCCTGGAATCCAGGCCAGCTGCGGCATCCTGGGTTTCCCTCGGGTACACCACCCCTGGGAGGCATGGAGGAGGCATCCTAAAAAATGCCTAAACAGATGTCAGAGCAGCTGCTCTACTTTGAGCTCCTCCCATGTCAATTAATCTTGGAATAGAAAATCTAATCCCACCTGATCCCTTAAACAACATTTTTAATGCCCTTACATATCTCTTGACTATTTGATATTGTTTATATGAATTGTTTATATCCATCTCTTTTTTTCCCGTTTCCCCTGCAGATACATGTCGATGGCAGTCCTGGAACAGACCTCTGACCCTGTGATCCTGGCTGTGGCCTGCAGTGATGGAGCCGTCAGGTGCGGTGACAGGGAACAAGACCAAGAGAGTCCTTTTCAGTTGAATGATTTTGTGATGTGCTGTTGGTTACAGACTGTTCTCTGTTAGTGAAGTGGACCGTCGTATTGGGTTGTTGTGGGAGAGTTTTCATCATCAGCGCTGTGTGCTCTGTGTCGCCACCTGCTGTCTACAGGACACACAAGGAAACAGGTGAGTTCTGTTTTATTCTATCGAGATTTGAGTCCCATTACGTCATTGCTCACTTATCCCAATTTTGAGCAATGATTGCATGATTTTGTATGCAAGATATTTGCATCTTGCATACAATATTATGACCAGAACTTTCTCAAATAACTTTTTTTACATTTCTTCTTTGTATGAGTGAGTTACCTCCTCTTTTAGCTTAATCATTCATGTCTGTACATACAACAAATAATGAAGTAAATAAATGTATTTCTCATTTAAATTGCAGGCATCATCTGCTGCTTTCTGCTGCTACAGACGGACAGATTGCTCTGTGGAATTTCACCTCTTTTTTATTGTACAATCAATTTCCTCCTTCACCAATCTTCACTGTTCCTGCACATCAGAGCGGCGTCAACTCCATGGACATTCTCCCTCTCCGATGTGAGGACTATTATCATTTAACCATTGCAAGTGGAGGAGATGACGGCCAACTCACTGTTTCTCAAATCCAAATCCAGTTCATTGACGATTCTGATTCTCAACATCAGCTTTGCGTCAGTCTGGTCACCCAATCTCACTCCCCGCTGGCCCACGCTGCCCCTTTGACCTCCCTGAAGTTACGGAACAAGAATGAAATCGTTTCTACATCGTGTGATCAGAGAGTTTGTCTGTGGAGATTTTGCAGTGCAGGGGTGATCCAACAGAGGGCAGTGTGTTCTCATGTGGCAGATGCAGCAGCTCTGTCACTTTGGGAAGGTGAATGTGAAAGTGGGTCATGGACTGAGGGAGTATTTGGAGAGAAGTCTAAAAATCAAAACGCAACAGAAGTTTGTGCTGGAAAACTGGACACTGGAGAAAGAAAGGATGCATACGTGCTGATTTGTGGACAGGGTCTACAGCTGATCCACATGATATCATGATTGTTTAATGTATGTTTGATACATGTTAAATATCTTCACGATTAGTAACATCAATACAGACACCCAAAAGGAAAATAACTGTTTTCAATCTTTTTTTGCTTTCCTCTTTGGACTTCTGTTCAACAACAAAAGAAAATTTGCTAAACTAAACATGACCTATGCATTTTAGTTTTTTTTAATGTTTAAAATACAGAGCGAGAAGCAATGAGATGAAAAAAGATGTTTGTTTTTTTCAAAGCATTTCAGTTATTGCACACCTTGCTTTTTACAACCTCTAAAATTGTTGATTCAATGGCAAAAAATATTGTCCTGACGCAGATAAGTCTACTTTTGTGTGGAATATTTTGCATGAATGCTTTTAGAAATGGGTTTTTATTCACCTTTGCAAGAAAATACATAAAAGTTCCATAGTGTTTCTTTAACAGTTCAGTTTCAGTAGACTCAGTCGACCATGTGAATGCCATATTGAGTGTCACTGGGCTGTAACATGAGCAGCAATGAGTGGGTCGCAGTCACATATTTGCAGAGGACGTGAGTGTTTACGGCAGGATCAGTTTTGCGTGAGTCATATTAGCATGTGCGTTTGCATATTCATGAGTGGTATGCTAAGGAGACCAGCACAGGTGTCGTACTCAACACCTGAGAGGCCATTTGTCATGTTCACTTTTAGACAGCTATTATTGTCAGGTAGGTAAAGCAAAGTTTATAGTGGTTTATGCTAACCCTTCCCTCTTCAGGGGATTCAGGTTTTTTATTTCAATCACAAAACTGAGATTGACAGCTTATGAATGTGTTGTGAAAAGACAACTGCTGTTGGGATTTAGGGCTATTCAAAAAAATAAATTGAATTGAAATCCAATTGAAAACATCGCTGTACTACTGGAATGGAAAAAATAAACAGAGCGTAGTAGAATATACTTCTTTAATGATTTTTGCACATAGAGATCAATATTCTCACGCATACTGTGAATGACCTGCATTGTGTGTTGCCTATGATTCACACAAAATATAATATATAGTTTTATACAGTGCTTCTTCGGACACTCAAGACATTTCAAGCTGCATTAATAATTAACTTCATATTCAGTGGTGATACACTACCATTACTACCCACAGCTGCCCTGGGACAGACTGACAGAAGTGAGGCAACCAGTATGTGCGATCGGAATCATTCACTCATGAGACTCGTATAAGGAAATATAGGTGAACTGTTTTGCTTAAGAACACAAAAGTTTGGTACTTTACAGCCGCAGCCACCCCACTGTGGCACAGGTTTTCTTGGGTCTTCCATCACAGTACTAACCAGGCCCTGGTGTGTGTGTGTGTGTGCGTGTGTGTATGCAATAATGAAATAGAAAATGGTAAGAAATAATGAATAAATAGCCGTTCAGGTGTTGTGTAATGTAGGTTATTATCAAACAGCCTGGCACTCCAACAACAAACATTTTAAATTATGGAACGTTATTTCCAATGCTTATGGTTTTCTTCATCTTCATCCTCCCAACTTCCAAACTCTAAAGTGGAGCACTTGAATGCCACACAACCACAGTTAATCCAGTGCTGCCTGAAGTCCATTGAAGATTTCATATCTAAAATCATTTAACAACTTCCTCTCAAACTGCTTTAGTGAGTCATGTTTATGCTTTAGAGAGAGTTCTGAGTGAAAATCTATTGCCGGGGTGTTTTTGAACTAAAAGGGATTTCTCTCTTACTGAATTCAAAAATAAATTTGCTCCCAAAGCGGCTCCAGATGGCTTTAAACATTACTTCATTCATTTTCTCTTGCCAAATGTTTTAAAAGAAAATCCATCCTCTTGTTTGGAGGAGCTCCGTCTCGGCCCACGCGGAATTTAATTTAGAGAGAGTTAATGGATTCTGCATTGGACTATTTTTACCACAGCGACAGAAGTTTGGGAAAAGCTCCTTCCATTTTAAAGAGGTTACATAACTTTGTCCTGGCTGAGAAAGTGGCCAAGTGATGTGGTGGAACTTGGGAGAATGAAACAAATTCATTTGACATTATATTCTGTATGTGTGCATACATTTTAAACCATTCTGAATTTCTCTTTCATACGTATTCAGGGAAAGAGCAGAATCCATATCACAACATGGCTCAAAATGTCACGTTATTTTAGCCGCTCTACAGGTCGATGAATATACATACACAGGCTGAGAGAGTTGGAAAAACGAGGAAAGGTAAATCTGACAATTTGACATGAGGTTTCGATAGACTCTTACATAAGTATTGGCTAGGAAAGTAATCACGTTTCCTTGCATCTCTGTAAATCTTTCATCATTCTTTTTTGCAACACTAAGGCCTGGTGCGGTCACACATGATGAAAGACACTCCCAATAGTATTTGGCAATAAAATGGGTTAGGGTTAGGGTTTGTATTGTGTAATTGACTACAGTTGGTTTTGTAGCGCCACCTGCATGTGAAAGCCAGGTCTTGTCTAACTTCAGAAGTTAAACAAGGCAGGGGCTGAGCAGTACTGTGATGGGAGACCTCTGGGAACACCAGGTGCCACAGTGCTGTAATTTCCCCACATGTGTGTCAATTGGGTGTCACACTGAGAGAAGCGAGGCAACCAATATGTACCATCGGCCCCTGCGACCACCACCAGCCATTCACACACACACACACTAGACTCATTCCAGGCAATGTGGGTGAAATGTCTTGCCCAAGGACACAACAACAGTTTGGTACCTTGGTGTATCTTGCTTGGTCCATGGTCACCACAAAGTCACTCATGTATTTTCAACATAATTATTGAATGTTTGTGTAGTTTGTAGCATCGTGGAGTGCTGGACCATTAGGATATCTCCCACATATGGCCTAAACACAGCAATTTCTTTACAAAATAAAAGTTATTGCTTGTCCAGTGTAGTTGGACATGTGATGGGCTGATTGAACAGTCTGAATGCCCCACGTTGAGCGCTCCACGCTGGGGTCTGAGAAGAGTTTGGACATGAATATTTAAAGGCGTCCTCCATGCTGGATCCTGTTTCCTTTTGTGGAGCTGTCAGTCAGCGGAGAGGTGAGGAGGAACAGACAGGAGCTGGAGAAGGAAGCATAAATCAGACCAAAATCCATCAATGTCTTACACTCAGTTTGATGGGGACCAACAGACCAATAGACAGAGACACACACCATTATGAGTACATAATGAAAGGACTTTTGAGCGCTTTTATGAGTGTTTTAACAGTGTTCCTTTGACATTTTTGTACACAGTGTCATACAATTAACTCTTGCTTTTGGTGGGGATTATCAGGTCTGCAGTTTTGAATAGGAAGTCATTGTATATCCATATGTCAGCATATAGTGATCAAGCAGTCTGTTTCACTGTGTTTTGCTTTTAACTTTGTCCCTTTTTTAAGGTGTCCTTGAGTGTCCAGAAAGACAAATACAAATGATCTCAAATCATTGATATTGTTATTATTATTATTACCTCAAACTAAAAAGCCCAAATAAACATAATGTGTCCCTTTACTAAATTACAGATCGTCTTCATCGTGGTTCTCTGGGGCCTGTCTAATGGTTCAGTCATGAAAATAATATTCAGATTCATATTCAAACTACTTTATATTCAACCAATACATTTAAGCAGTACAGGGCATAAAAATAAAAAAAATACATAAAACACAGGAATTATATTGCAACACATGTACATAACACACATAAACGAGGGTTTGGAGGAGGAGGGGCAAATAATACGATGAATAACTAAGAACCGCTGAAGACTCTGACTAATAACATTGTGAGGACGATTAAAACAATGTAAGATTAAGTTATTTGGACTTCTTTGGTCTTGATAGCCGAACTCTCCAAATCTCACCGGACCTTTTTTCCAGGACAGACTATAATGAGGGTACTGGTCTGCTCCGTCTGGCTCTTTGTTCAGTGGCTGGTTATGAATTATGTAATGTCATTTGTGAAGCAGACATATCGTTTACAGTGAGCAACAGAGGACGGGGGCTCAGAGGGGGGCACCCACAGGCGACTAAAGGCTAAAGTCACAGAGACCGGACAAGACGAATGAAAGAGCCTCTGAGACAAATGAGCTTAGCTTTTTGATTGGATTTTTTCATTGAGAATATTAAATAGATTAACAACACCGATTATTTTAGGTTTGATAGAAATTTTGTTTGAATTTATTATCTTAGGCATATGCGCAAATGTCATGTTTACTGATGGATGTAGCAGAACAAACATTTTGAAGGAGGATTTGTCAAACAGACACATGGAATAATCGCAGAGCAGCAGCAGTTGAGGTAAATGTCACTTTCCCCAGCTGTGTCATGGGGTGCGTAGTGGAAAACAGGAAGCGGGTGTGTCAATAATTTAATAGTACTTGCACATGTTTTGACTCTTGTTATTTTTTCTAAGGATCTTGTGTACGGTGCCAGGTCTCACAATAAGTAACACCATAATTTTACTTGTTGAAGTTCTAACTTTTTGATCTGTTTTTACATTGATCTTGTGAAGCATTTGAATTACCTTTGTGCTATGCGAATAATTGTTGAAATATTGTTCTTTTCCATTTAAAGTTTTTTTTATGAAATACATTGTAATTTTATGGCTGCAATTTGCCTGAGCAGTGCATCATTTTCAAGAGTATATCTTATACATAAGCTGGTTTAATTATAGAGGCTTCAGGAGCAGTGATGTCCCGTAGACTGCCTCTGATTGGTTCATCTGGCGACAAGACAAGTAAAAATAAAGGTAAATGTTTATACAATATATTTGCTTGATTTTATGATTTTACCATTGGAAGTATTTCTTATTGAGGATTGAGGATAAATATACTGCAATTTCCTCTATTACTGTCTATGACTATTTCTGAAACATAGTGGTGTAAAACATCATTCGTGCAGGAGTTCAAAAGTAATCATCTGGTCCAAGTTTGAAACACAAACGTTATTTTCTGACCTGAAGATGTCTCTTAGATGGGACTCAAAAGGCCTATTTGCTAAAAATGTGGTCCAGATGACCACTTTTGACACTTGCTCTCACACAATATTTCTAAAAAAAATTACATGTCTATGAGACTTCAGCTTCCAGGCAGTTTACAAACAGTATTATCCTCACCAAACTGTTCTTCAGTCTAAAAACGCTCCTGTCTAAATCCTGGTTATAATATAAGAGATCCTTTATTTATCCCACAGTGGGGAAAATTCCAATGTTGCAGCACACATACAGGACAGCAGTAAGAGCACACAGGGCGCATACATCATGTTCGAGTTTCTGCCTTTTACCTCCTTTACTGTTACCTTATAACTTCATCTTATCAGTTGGTGGTGGTAGAACTGAAGGAACTCTCACTGGTCTAATGGTAGAAGTGAAGGAACTCTCACTGGTCTAATGGTAGAAGTGAGGGAACACACGCTGAGATAAATTAGTGTCCTTTATGCATATATTTTCTGCTCAAGAAATTATTTCATATTCAAAAACAGTCTAAATAGGCTCATTAAAAAGTACTTTTGAATCAGTGTGTGTGAGTAGGTTTGTGTGTGCGTGTGTGTGGTGTGTCTGTGTGTATGAGTAGGTTTGTGTGTGTGTATGTGTTTCCATTGAATAATGCGCAAAAATTGTGTGATTAGTAACATGACAGTGATTGACTGATATCTTAGCAAGATAATATCGGTTCGCAAAGTGCAATCAATCCTTGTCTTCTCAGCCAAGCCTGCAGCAGCACAGCGCCCCCCTCAGGCCAGAACCCACAAGCGCACTGAGGCCCCGCAGCCGCCCACACTGGTGTGTGATTCTAACATGGCCCCCTGGGGAGGTCTGGACCTGTCCGAGTCCTCATTCACCTCCTTATCTCCCCTCCGACCCCCCAGCATCCCTCCTCCTCCTCCCCCTGTGCCTCACTCCACACCCGCCTCACCACACAGAACCAAGACGCAAATCCGGAACATCTCCACCTCCACCATCACCTCCACCATGTCCTCTCCTTCGCTGGCACAAGCTGCACCAGACACAGGTGATTTCTATGTCATCTGCTGTATGTGCCGAGAAAGTGTTTAGGTAAAGAGTATATCTTCAAAAACATTTAAGTGCTATTAGAAAAGTGTTTGAAAGGCACACAATTTGCCCTATTCCAAGTAGTTTTTGAAAAGCCAGATGTATTTCAGAGCCGTACAAATAAAGTTTCACACACAGGAAAACTGATCTCTGCTTATACAGTAAGTGTGAGGAATGCCCAAAGTGTTTTTGTGAGACCCAAAACTAAAGGATCTCTGGAACAACTTGACTAAATCCCTTTCAGTGATTCATTATATTCACTGTGTAAGTGTTCACCTAAAAAACAAATAAATTACCATTCTAATTACCTTTTCCAAACAGAAAATGTGCTTTTCAATAACACAATCCACACTCCAGCATCAACTTCCCCCTGATTCCCAACTGCTCGTATTGTGCTTAAATAAAAAAAACATTCTCTGCTTTCAACCCCAACAGAGTTCCCAAACACCTGACACTATCTAAACACCTCTCTCTCTGTAACCTCCTCCCTTTCTGCAGGTGGCGCTGGTCGCGGTCTCCGGTCAAAGCGGCGTCCGTTGCCACAGCGCCGGGCCCCGCGTCCTCCCCGATTGCCTCCACTGCGTCAGGTCTCAAACCTCAGCTTCTCCAGGAGTTTCACCTTCTCCTTCTTTGAGCTGCCGCTGCACCAGTCTCCGCGATGTCGAGCCGAGAGAACTAAAAGCCTGCTGCTCCTCATCAAACAAGTGCACTTCTGACACTTGTCTTGTTCTGAAGACTGTGGGATTCAAACTAAAAGCATCTAATACAAAGATTTACAGGGAAAAACAACACAAAGTTGAAAGTAAGGTTCATTGCATGCTTTAATATTAATAATAATAATTTCTTGGGAATTGGGAATACACAGGCACACAGACTCATAGACACTTCTTGCTTTATAGATAGATAATGGATGTAATCGCTGCATTACTTGGAACTGTATTAATGCATGATCTTCTTATTTAACCCCATCCATGTAGCTATTGTGTTTTGTGTACATTATTGTGTAAAAACTTTTTTGGGAATAATACATTTAAAAAAGTGTTTTGTCATATCCATCCCTGAAATTAATTTTAGTTCTTTGCCACCATGTATTTCTTTATTTACTTCTTTCTTGGGAGTGATGGGTATTTTTCTACCTGTTGCCCAGGCTGCATTGTTTTCATTTGAACATATTCATATTTCTTATTAATTATATTCTTAGTGATACTTCATACTCGTATAGGTAGTACAATCTTAATATCTATTCCCAAAGTTCAGAAAAAGAGACAAATGTTTTTCTCATGTTTACTATACATATTATTGAGGCCTACAATGTTGAATTTATCTGTACATTCTTATATGTGACAATGAATAACTAAAACATAAAATAATGATGGTTGTTAAAACGGTTCACTGTAATGTTTTTTTTATATATATACAGCGCACAATATCAGTAATGTATCTTATCACTGCAAAATTATCATGTTTTATTTGTATAAACACAATTCTAGTTTGATTTGCTTTTTTCCTGCTTTATAACTGCTATAAACAGTTGTAAATCATCCTGTCACTTGCTCTGTCTGAGTTCTCGCACGTGCACTCTGGCTTCACGTGCACGCCACTCTGAAAGCCGAGCTCAGATAAAGGTCCCATTGAAGCTCTATGTGTGCCGCAGTAAACCAGGGTCAAGGCCTGAACTCACGTGTTGTACTGTTGAATCATGACGCAACACTATTTTTTACTCCACACAGGATTGTCCATTCACTCCTCTGCTCTGGTCAGTGTCAAAGGCTTGTTTTGAGAAATCTGTTTTACTCTATTAGACTGTGAATCCAAAGTTGGTCAAAAATGGACAGTGACCAAAACATTCATTCAAACTCATCATATGAAAGTTCCCCATTTTTGGATGAATCTCAACTTGACTTGCTCGGACAGAGAGTGGAGGGGAAGAGGCCACCATTTTGGACAAAAGTGATGTCCGAATGCCGGTGAGTTACCTGCCCCAAGGTGAGAGTCCAACTTTTCCTTCTCCTGAAGCTCATCGTTTGGTCACATCCTACTCCATAAACTACATGTCAGGATGTAGAAAGTGGGCAGGGGTGGATTGCAATTACAGAAAGCTTCGTTGGGCAGTACATCATTCTATCAATAAATACTGTAAACTGGACTTTCTCAGTCACTGTTGCTGTCTCACATCAGTGTTTTATATCAAATGCTTGTTGTATGGGGCCTTGTACTGTATTTCTATTGCAATGAATTCTGTATTTTGAACATTTAAATATAGAGTCTTGTTGCAGATTTGCTGGTACATGTAATCTTTCCCACTAATGTCCCATTCATTTTATAGATATAATCCAGGCTATATTTCTAATGCGATATTGTTTAGTATATAATCCAAACTTATAGCAAAAACAAAATGGAAAGAGGTGAGTCCAGACTTTATTCACTCAGGTGTTATCAATAGTAGAACCAGGATCGGCCCTATTCATTTAGGCACAATTTGTCTGGGTTACATTTTAGTTATATATTGAAAAATTCAATATTGATTATTTTGAACCTTTTCTACAGAAAACGAATAGTAGTAATAATGTATTATTTATTGTAGACAAATTCTTCTTTTATTTACATTTTTATGGCATGCAGATTATTTTAAATGAAATGTCCTTGCTTGTCTGTCAGGAATGGCTAATGCGATGGTGGCTGGCATCCCTCCAGTTTATGGTCTATATTCTTCCCTGTATCCTCTCATCATCTACTTTATCTTTGGCACTTCCCGGCATCTCTCCATTGGTAATAACCACTCTTTTCTGTATGATAATTTCGCACCACCCTCTTGATTCTTGATGTGACGCTTGTTTGCACCAGGTACCTTTGCGGTCTTGGCCATCATGATTGGTTCTGTCACAGCTGAGGTAGAACTGAGAGTGACTGGAACAGAGACTGATGTGGTTGCAGCCAAAGTGAATGCTGCTGTACAACTCACCTTTATCTGTGGTCTCATGCAGGTACGACCATGGTGACATAGTGCATTAGGGCAATAGTATAATCTAAGACAATAAGGGCTTGCATCGCCATTCACATGACTAATACGTCCTTGAACATCTCTTGACTATAATCTTCAATAGGACGGAGACAAGGGGACACAGTGGTTAGCACTTACAGGTCTGGCCCGTGCATCCTATCCCCCTCGTTCCCGCTTCTTCCTCTGTGTGGAGTGAGAGAAAAATAAAATATAATGATTGCTTGCCACTTTTTGTACTTACATCAATAATAAAGAATGTTCTGAAGCAGCTTTAGCTTTTGTGACATGTTTACTCCATAAAGTTACAAACTGTCGATTTACTATCTCCACCATAAACAACTGCAACCACTACCACTTTTTCAAACACTTTTTCAGGGCATTATTTACATATATTATATCTTTAACTTTGACTGTAAAAATATAATACCTATTTCTATCTTGTATAGAAAACAGAATGAATATAGAAAAAAATCACATGTTGTCAGGTGCAGAGCCAAATAATAAAGCTCTTCTGTTTGTCCCACAGTTGGCCTTGATGTTGGTGGTGGGAGGAGGCGTGGTGCGCTGGCTCTCGATCCCTGTGATTCGAGCGTATGTGACTGCGGCTGGGATCCACGTCATCATCCTCCAGCTGCCTCTCATGATGGGCATCCAGACCCAGAGACACTCCGGACTGCTGCCTTCCATATGGGTCATTGAAATACTCACATTCCACATCACCTTAAAAGCATTGTGTAGTAGTGTAAATGTGTGACATTCCTTTAGTGGTGGAGGGTTTGGCTTTTTGCTTTGGTCCTTGTTGTGTTATTTTTTATTCCTAGAATATTCCACAGTTTGGCATGAAACATGTTCATCTATAGTAGAGATAATTAAGTAACTTAACTGTCCGGAGGAGCGGATCCCTTTCTCAAATGGGTCTCCCTCCCTGTGGGTTTCCCTAGGTCTCCCCAAGGTTTCTCACTTTTTCCCACTGGGTTTTTTAAGAGTTTTTCCTTGTCGATACAGGAGGGTCTTGTTGGACAGTTAGTGTCCAACAGAAAGGATTGGTGATGATCAGGACACTTTAACATTCTACAACATGTATGGACATTTTCTTCTGTGTGTGCTTTATATTTTTCATGTGTTTTAACTGTTGATTCTCTGATCTGTGTTGGTGATTTCAATGGTTTTGTTAAGTCCTCTGAGATGACTTCTGTTGTGACTTAGGGCAATACAAGAATAAATTGTAATTGTAATTAACTAGACTAGGATTTAGGAAGAGGTGTGCAGACCCAATGTACACATTCAGTGAGCAGTAGAAACATCTGTGATTCAAATTTAAACCAGACTGAGGCATATTCAGAGAAATAGCATCTCCACTGAAACAAGCTGGCTTACAACGCACCAATTTTGAAAATGGGTTTATGTTTATTTCATTATATAAAATAATGTATTATATATAATGTACATCTAAATCCCCATCTAAGTTTGTTTAAAAAAAAAATCAAGCTCAACATTTCTTTAATCCAAACCTTTTAGTTGATCATTGTACTAATGATAGTGCAGCAGTGATGAAGTGTGGATGCTTCATCACTGCTGCACATTGGACCATTAAGCGCAGTGTATGAGAGGGACCCACTCTGCAGAAGGTCCTCAGGCCTCACTTTGAACATTTACCAGTTCATCTGTAGCTTTATGTAACTGCTGCTCTGGAATTTCAAGAAGCCAGAGAAGACGCAACTCACCGCAAGACTGTTTGAAAGGGCTGTGCTCAAATATACATTCTACATACAATCAGAAAACCATGCATTATATTGTATTAAACAGTCAAGTTCATAAGTATGCAAAACATATACTTTCAAAGTCTTTGTGTGGTGATTGGATGTAATGTTTGCCAAATGGTGTCTACATTCTTGAAATCACAATGCCAACAGAATCGGCATGCATATGACCGAAATGAATCATAGAGAAATAGTGATTTTGGTTTCAAACAGATTTGAATGGAAACCAAAGATAATCATTGACACATCTAATAGAACAATGAGTGAACATTTCTTCTTGGGTCATGTAAAATTTACACTTTTGTTAAAATAAGGCTTTCTGTTCTTTTTGATGGTAGACTCTATGGGATGTCCTCCGCGGAGTCCCCACCTCTCTCCCTGCAGCGTTGGGCTTGTCTGCAGTCTCCATTGTGGTTCTTGTTGGAGGAAAACTCCTGAATGACAGATTCAAAACCAAACTCCCTGTGGCCATACCCTGGGAACTCATTCTGGTAACACGCAAATAAATTACTTTTTATTATTTCACTCCAGTTTAAAAGGCTAGTTTAAAACCCATACATTTGTTGAAATAATTGTGTATGTCATGATGAGATGAAACATTTCTTTAATATTTTTTTTTAAAACACGCACGCAAACACACACAGGGGCAAGCACGCATGCGCACACGCACACGTACACACACACACACACACGCACACACACAGTTCACAGCAATACCTTTTGTATAAGTGAAGCCAAAGCCCTAATATGAAGTACAATTTTATTTCTAAATTATATTTCAATAAATAGATTAGTAAATACATCTGCTGTAACACCTCTGCTATTTTTACACTCCTAATCAGTAGAATTGTTGCCAGGGCCTCAATAACAAAGGCCGCATGGGGACACGGTGACTCTCACAAAAGATTCTCCAAAAACACTGAACAATGATTCTGTCATAGGGCTCTCCAAAAACCAGCACACAAACACTTCACAGAACACGACCTGATTTATTTTGTCCAAATGATGTCATCGTCAGACCTGATGGTTCCTGGTCCGACAGACTTACATAAGTCTGCGTGAGTCACAGAGCAGCCGAGCAGAGCTTTGTGGTCATCCATCTGTGATACAACACGTTTACTTCTTTTTTCCCATAAATGTGTTTTTGTGTACATTTATTCTTAATAGTTTCAGGCATTCAGCCATTTTCTTTCACTTTATCCCTTGCCGAGATCCAGGGGAATCCGAGGATAGCTAAGATAAACAGTCGCTCCAGACGATCCTGGGTCTTCCCCAGGTTCAGGAGGTTCAGGAGGCATCTGAAACAGAATCCTTTTCTCATCTCCTCAGCTGACTCCTTGCAATGTGAAGGAGCAGTGGATCTAGTGTGAGCTCCTCTCCCTATCTCCAAGGGGTCATTGTGACCTCTTGTATCCACTTCATTACCCAAAGCTTTTATTGCTTTATAACATATTCTGTCCTTAATTTGATCTATTCACCATTATTATCATTATAACCTTTGCACTTTATACAGCACCTGGATCATCTTAAACGCTTCATGTATTGCAGAGTAATTGTATCTATTTATCATTTATTTATTTTGTTGGACAAAAACACCAATGCAAAGTCTCCCCAAGACATTTGTCATGGCAAAAATATTAAAGCCAATTGCAGTTTTCTTTGTTTGTTTCAGGTGATTTCGAGCACCCTTGTGTCGGTGCAGATGGATCTGTCTGGGGTGCACCGTGTGCAGGTGGTGGGACACATTCCCAGTGGGTCAGTGACTAAACCACCTTTTCAGCAGAGCTGACATAATACACAGGTTTTTGAGCAGTTAGATAAAACAAAACTAAAACAGTATATTTGTCCTTTTTACACATTTACATTCAATAATTTTTCCCGTAAGAAAATAAATCAAAAAAATGAGGCTGACAACATGAAAAGTGGTCAAAGTTTTATTCATAATTGGACACGTCCCATTCACCTGTTCTCATAATCCACTGTTCACTAGGCCTGCTATATCATTACTACATTATTCATATTCCATTCATCGGAATACTCTGCTCTGATAATTCACAAGTCACTTTACCTGCTGCTGCTTTTATCACTATTGTTTATTCTGGTCATATTCTCTGCTGCTACATTACTATACCAACCATCTGTTAATACTGTAACTCATTTCTGCTGCTAACTACACTCCTCAAGTGCAATGATAGCTCCAGGGGTTTATTTTTTTGTCTTAATATTTTATAGGTAAAGGTGCACTTTATTGATCCCCGTAGGGCAATTCAATCCTCTGCATTTGACCCATCCTGATGCCACTAAGGATTATGTCAGGAGCAGTGGTCGCCGTAGAACAACGCCCGGGAACCTATCTCTAGATGTTGATGCTCGGCTTGGTCAGGACTACCAGAGCTGGAGGATTTAACCTAGTGTGCATGTTTTTTATTATCTATTATCTGAGTGTTCTTATTTTCTAATTTAATTCTACTGTAATGTGTGCAACTATGACATTGAAATGTCACCACTGAGGGACGAATAAAGGCTTATCATGTCTTATATTTAGAAGATGAATTGTAACCCTTAAAGCCATACATTAGCCATTACATGAACGCAAAAGCCTAGGCATTTAAAATCACCATATAGATAGATAAACTTTATTATAATAAAATAGAAATAAAAGTGTGTACGGATCAGACACAGTCTTAAAGCAAGGATGAATTTCTAGATACAAGAATAAAACTTATTTCCTGTTTCAGTAAATACTATTTGTCAAACCTCTGTTCCTTCATTATAAAGATAATTAGAAGCAGATTGGATGTCTAGACAAATTCAAACACACTGATCTTTCCCTCTGTCCCCCAGCCTGTCTCCCCCCTCTCTCCCCTGCCTCTCCTCCCTCTCACAGCTCTTCCTCCCTGCTCTCTCTGCTGCCTTGGTTGGATTCAGCTTCCTCTCAGCCATTGGTACAATGTTTGCCGAAAAACATGGATACAAAGTGGATCACAACCAGGTACTGTTATGGTTTGGAGGAGTAGATCCCTCAGAATTAGAAACAGTTTAACAATGGCGCCGCATGGCGCCGTAAAGATGGCGCTGTGGCAAGAGCTCTGGTGTGTGTCGTCTTCTCTGTCTGGTGCACACTGGGGTAGTCTTGCACAGTTTTTCCATTGTGGTTTTACTGCAAATGGCAAATAAATGATTCTGAATCTGAATCTGATCTAATGACTAATGACATTTCCTGTGTCTGGAATATGTAACTGTGCTTATATAAGCATATATTTGTTCATTAACAAACAGTGTTGTTGTTAAGTGATTATTCTAAGAGCTAAAGTTTAGCTTTAGATTTTTGAAATGCTTGAGTTCAAGAGAAAAGGGTGGATCTGTATACGTTACGCTAAGGTTATGCTAATGTTGTCCTAACAGATGTTAAAATAAAACAACTCTTAAAACATAAGACGGTCAAATAATTCTATCATAAAACCCCATATCCTCTCCTGACATCTGTGTAACATTAGTAGTTAGTAGTTAATAGGTTAATAGGTTTATAGGTTAATAGGTTAATAGACTATCGGTCCATCATCAAAAGAATAACAAAAATATCCTGTGAGAAACTCTCAGGTATGTGATCAATTCACATTCAATGAGTACATCTTTTAAATGTTGTGTGAAGTTAACATAACCTTATTGACTACGTCAATACGCTGTAGTGCATGGAAACAATGTTAAAATGGAGGCAAAAGAAAATCAATAATGATTGTTGAAGGCAGCGTTTAGTGACGGAGTTAATGAGAATGCAGCAAAAGCAAACCTGCACCTCTGTATTCTACAGTGTCCAGGTCTTCACTGATGTCACAATGTAACTCCTTACACACAGTCATGTGTTTGTTGATATTATGACCTTACTGTATTAATTCATCATTTTGTGAAGTGTATTCATTTAATGAATATATAATATTTGGGTTTGGCACAATGCTTTTTGTCTCAGGTACTCCCAAGATAAAGACATTGTCCTACTTGTATTGTACAACTCCAGAAATAATAGTACAGACAATTGTGTATGCATTACACAACAGCTATCAGCGCTTTTATCGGCAGTTACAACAACAAACTATCATGATTACTATCTTTATGGCAATTATTTAAATGTTCACCCCTTTATGTCCAATATTCCCCACATCCAATGATGTCACTGCCAGAACTTATTGGCTTCATCACGAATGACAGCTCAGATCTACTGTGTTACACAACATCAATGGTACTATAGAGAAAAACAGACAGAAGGCTCTGATGAAACAAAATTATGAAGGGACTGGGGGGAAGCAATACTATTCTTCTAATTATTTTATAATTATGCATTCCAGGAGCTATTGGCGTTGGGTCTATGCAACTCGGTGGGCTCCATGTTCCAGTGTTTTACAGTGAGCTGCTCTTTTTCAAGGAGCACCGTGCAGGACAGCATTGGGGTCAAAACTCAGGTCACTCACAATATACACAAAGACTTACAGGTGAAACCCGGAAAATTAGGATGATGTTCAAAAGTCCATTTACTTCTGAATGGCAATTACAATGTGAAACTCACATTTGACAAATGTGAGATATTTCAATTCTTTATTTGTTATAATGTTGACAATTGACTCACATCTTGTAAAACCCCCAAATAAAACATCTTCAAAATCCATTTGCTTAGCATATGTTGCTTTGTATGTAATTACAATTACAGAAATACATTTACTTTTGAAACGATATTCCGAGTTCGACCTGTATAGCACAAGGAATCTATACCATTTTTAATCTTGAATAATATAAACTTTTTTCTGATGCAGGTCGCTGGTTTGGTGTCAGCTTTGATGATTTTATTGATTCTGCTGAAGATTGGACATCTTTTTGAGCAGCTTCCAAAGGTAAAAATATGAATCATTATACATGCACAATTTCATTAAAACCCCACTGCGCAACATTACATAGGTTCTGTGGTTCATAACATATATTGTTATGGTTTCATGGTTTCTCCCAATACTCATAACCCCACCCTTTTCAGTATCTGGTTGTATTTGGTGTAGTATTCCTTCAGTTGACTGTAAAGCTGTTTTGGGATTGCAGTGCGTGTTGGCAGCAGTAATTTTGGTAAATCTTCAGAAAATTGTGATGCAGCTCAAAGACCTGTGTGAGCTCTGGAGGACAGACAAAACAGACCTGGTCAGTTTCACTTATTTCCATGCACATCCACAGTATACATGTGTATTCTATATTTCTAACAATCATTAATAAAAGAATGATATGTGAGGAACTCAGCAATAGTCATGTGTAATGATCAGTGGATTTTCCACTATCAATGACATTTACATTGTGCACCCCAAATGACCTGTACCTGAACTGTTTTAAATATATTACCAGTTTGCAGCCATCCAAGCTCAACTTTCTCACATCTGTTTAACCACTGACGGGTTTATAAGATTTTCACTCTTAGAGCCCTCAACACAGTTTGACTTGCAAAAATGTTTCTTTCTCATGCTATTAGGCACATATATTAAATCAACTTATAAAATAATATAATAATAAATCATATAATGATAAATCAAAAATATATTATAATAATTTAACCATTTTCTGTAGTTTGTGTGGGTGGCTTCCTTCTTCTCCACACTGGTTTTCAATCTGGACATGGGATTGGCCGTGTCTGTGGTCATCTCTCTGCTCTCTCTGCTCTACAGGACTCAACGGTCAGTTTAGGTTCACCACATTTTACAAAGACATTTTTAATGTTGTTTGTAAAAATAAAACACAACTTTCCTGAATGTGGGTTGCTAACTCTTCTCAGATGTTCAGCCAGCTCTGTTCAACAGATGAAATGAGTCACTGTTTACAAAGCTCACACTCTCCCTCAGTCACGCTTGAGAATAATTTGATTTTCTTTTGTGTGGGTTTTTTAATTTCAAGATTATTTCATTTTGATGATGTTTGTGCTCTTTTCTTTTTCAGTTTGTCAACGGCTCCTGTCATTTTAGGTCAAATATCTAGCACAGGCCTCTATAGGGATTCCAACACATTCACACAGGTAAGGAAAATAGTGAAATAATATGATGGTAGGAAAGTAAAAAGTTTACAATGGTTTTATTTGAGCTCATATCAGAGGATCTTTTAGCTTTCTTGATGAAAAAAAAATATATATATAGTTGACAGTTATGCAAGTATTTATCATTACTGGGACAAGAACAGATGTGTTTTAAGTGCAAGGCATAAAAAACCAAAACGTACCATTAAAAATATTAGATTATTAATTAATTAAAATTAAAAAAAATTACACTAAAGATGACAAAGTTCCAAAGACATGCACAGTAAAAAGCTAACAGTCAGTAAGTAGATTTTTGTGTTTATTTTTTTCATTGCTAAAAACAAATGTCTAACATGTTTTAGTCGCCGTTCGCTCTCGGTAGCCGGTAGACAGTTGCCCTTCTCCACTTTTTCAAAAAGTGGAGAAGACATTTCTTTCCTAAAATTCGTGACAATCCTCCTGTATACCTTTGAGTGTAAGTAATTTTTATTGGCTATATTTTGTCACTCTCTTCCAGGCCAGACCAGTACCAGGAATCTGTGTGTTGTCTTGTCCTGGTCCTCTTTACTTCGCCAACTCTGACATGATCTTTAACTTTATCAGAGAGGTACAGTATCAATATTTCATCTCAGACCACACCATGTTTTACAGTCATTTTTAACATGTTATCTCACAGACAGTAAGGACTACAATGACTCCATCGGATAGTCAGACGTCCTCGCTCGTTGCCTCTTCCTTACAGACCCAAAGCCAATGTTTAGTCCTGGATTTCAGCTTGGTCCAGTTTGTGGATTCTATGGCCATGAAAGCTCTCTCCAAGGTAAGAACCATGGCAGACTTGTTTGTATTACAGTATATAAGTTTGCTTATCTGTCGTTGAATAAAAAAGGTTTTCAAGCACAGTTTTAGAGGCTACAGCTTTGTCGTGTGAGACACTTGGATGTTGTTTGTTGTTGGCAGATAAACTGAAACAGTTGGTGTGTTTTCTCTTATAGCACAGTTCATACAGAAGGCAACTTGAAGAACTTAACAAAACAAGTTAGAAATTCTAAAATCATACAAGCCATTGGTCACAGTACATTAAAACAGTGAAAATATAATCCTTCAGTTGTCTGCATAGCAAAACAGATCTGTTTTAACATGGATTTGAACATTGCATTGTTGGAGAAGCCTGTCTCACATTTTCAGGAAGACTGTTCCAGATGTTAGCTGTATGAATCTGAAATGCTGCCCCCTCTTGTAATTCATTTAAGACATAAAGGAAAAGAAGAGATTATAGACAAATCATTGAAATAAATGTGTCTATATGTGATTGATATTGAAGCAATAGCCAAGAAACATAGCAGCTACTTATATTTTATATTTTGTGTGCACCTTGTGTGCTCTTACTACCCTAACCCTGTATGGTCAAAGTTTATGTATACAGCTGCATTTAAAAAAAAAAAAACAGACAAGACTGTCACAAAGTGCTTTCCAGACATTACAAATTACAATACACAAATAAAATACAGCATAGAAATAAAATACTGGTCACTATCATAAATGTGCGCTGAAACATTGAAATTTCCCCACTGTGGGACGAATAAATCTTATCTTATCTTATAACTACCAGTTTTAATACAATGGCCTTTTTGTCATGAGTGCAGAACTATGGGAGAACTCAAATGCAGAACTGAAAAAAAGATTTAATAAACAAAAGTAACTAAATCAAGACCCCAAACAGAACTCCAAAATCAAACAGTGAAAAAAACCAGGACCAAAAACACAATGGACCAACAACAAGAGGAGAAAAGCACAGGATTTACATACACACAGGGACACAAGTGGAACACATGATGGTGGGGCAGTCAGTCAACTCAACAGATAGGAAGTAAAACTCAAAACAACCAATCCATGAAATGAAATTTTACCTATGGTTCTAAGCCAGAGGTCTCCAGCCAGTAGCTCAGGAGCCACTAGTATCTCGCCTCTCCCTTCCAGGTTGCTCGCCTCTCCCTTCCAGGTAGCCCACCACTCCCTTCCAGGTTGCCAGAGGACTTTAGAAATGAAAAAAATTAAATAATATACTTGATATTTGTAGATTTAATTTTTTCTTAAATCAATATTTCTTATTGAAAATGCACTTACTGTGGTGATTCACACTTACACATATTCTGCATCTAAACTGATTCTAAACTGGGACTATTACCACAAAGGTTTACATCAGATTTAGATTCTGTTTATTTGCAGTTAATAACCACATAGGAATAGCCAAAATTACCCAGTTTGCATCAGAGACAACAACAATAATAATAACAATTGTCACTGTAAGATATGGGACCGAAACAAAGCTCAAGCCAGTACCAGAATTGTCCAGAAGCAAAACACTCCCAACTTGACCTATTCTCCAGACAACATCTTTGACCAAGTTTAGTGCTGTTAATAGTACACAGAAATCACACCAACTATCGCTGGTATTTGAAAACAATCTGAGCTTCAAGTACAATAGGCATTCACTTATCATAAAATATAACTCTTTTCAAAAACCCTCCCTCCTAAAAGTCACACTGAACAATCATGTCCAACTTGAAACTGTAACTGGTCTCGCCGCTCCTGCCGGCTCATGTGAAACAACACTGAATGTTATCTATTTTTACCACACTGTGATTGAGTGTCTGAGATTCTGGAGTGGTCATTAAACGCAGGGCTGTGATTGGTCGGTCTGATTCATCGCTGGGTTGTGACTGGTGGCTTGGGTTCACAGTTATCAAAGTACAGTAGAGTGTTTTATAATGGCCCTGTGTTAGTCACCTGCGTTTTGTTTTAACGGAGAAACGCTGTGTGCTTTTGGAGGTGATGGCGGAGGCGGAGTCTGTGGGAGGGACAGTGGTGATAGCGGCGTGTTCAGGTCAGTGCCATGTTCGTCACAAATGAAAGCACAACGCTTTAGTAAACAACACAAACAGGATCAGGTCATTTAATGCAATTGTGCTTACGTTCTCAAACAGGAAGAATGTAAAGGATTAGGTTTACAAGTCTCCCTTCAAGAGTCTAAAGAGGAAGGCCATTCAAGGCTTACAGTCTATCTTTGTAATATATGTTTCTCAGATATTTGATTTTGTTTATTTATTTATGATAGGAGCCAAAATTGTCAACATTATAACAAATAAAGGCTTTGCCCTGAAATTTCCCCCACTGTGGCACAAAAAAAGGTTCTCTTTTCATATCTTATTGTATCTCACTTTGTTTGCCAATTGGTTTAAGATTGTAAATTAGGTTATTTGCTTGCACACAGCCCCTTAATGGCGAAGTGGCACGCTATCTGCCAAAACAATTTCCAAGTGGTAACTTTGTTTGTTACTTACGTGGCAATAAAAATGATTCTGATTCTGATTCTGATTCTGATAATGTAAATGGACTTCAACAATGTTCAAATTTTCACAATTTTGCATCTACTGTATATAGGACCAACTATAGGAATAATTTATACAGCATAGACACCAAACTTGAAAAACAACACGTCAAGCTTTCCCATTGTTGTCCGCATCGACACAGAATTTCAACATGTGTTGTGAAAGAAATAGTATGCCGTGTGTGCCGTGTGTCATGTGTCATGTCTGATCTAAATGACATCTAAACTAATTGTGTGAAATGTGTTTATAGAATCGGTCCTGTCTCAACTGAAGAGTTCTGTGTCCCGTTCTCGTCTTTTCCCTTCTGTCCACTTCGCCGTACAACACTGTCTGAAGTCAATAACACCGCAGACTAATATGGAAGTAGGTTTTATCAGTTCATACAGTGATACTGTTTTATTTAATCATAGAGCCCCTGAGTAAATGGCTCGTCTCCAATAAGAACCTAGGAACCATTTAAATTGGAAAAAGTATCAAATAGTCTTTGGTTGTTTTAACTTAGCATTTTGTATGATACGGTATCAAGTGTGTACTCAAAAGACTATACTAAAATTATATATAATTGAATATTGTTATTTATACACATAAATAAGACCTTATTTTGCCAATAGACGTACAGTATAATGAATCCAAATGTATTGACATACATTTGAATTTATAATATTTATATGGGATGTAATCAGTATAATAAATGTGTCACTTTAACATCTGTTGTAGGTGTTCGGTCCAAACTCTCCTCAAACCTGAATCTGGCTGAAAACATTAGATTTTTGAGAAGATCTGTCTCACTCCAGCAGTTCTGTGTTGCTGAAGATGGAGAGAAACCACAGAGATGATTTACCCATGTAGCTCCAAAAGTCCACACAATCACTGAATGAATAACACAGTAATAACAACAGGAAGCAACACTCTGCTGTGGCTCCAAATACATTAATACCAAGTCAAACACATCGTGATAATCTTTATCTTTCTGACTACAAATTGTAGCTTTAATATGTCCCTGTGTGCTTTAATAATGAATTCCTTAATAATTTTGTGGATTTGAGTTTATCATTGACAGACACTCATTCATATTGTTTACAACCTGGAGTTTCTTTGTCATCTCAAGCAAGACACACAAAGACAATGGACCAGAGAACTCCTTTTAACTTTTCACAATTTAAATAGAGAATTAAACTCGCAGATACAAACATTGTGTATTTCCTTCCATGCTATTGATGTCAATATTGGAAGCTATTGTTTTTATGTTGGAACTTTGAACCCTTGACTTGAAAGCAATGTCCAATCCATAGCAACACGTCAAACAAGACTGCGGCAGGAGGAGAGCTTCACAAATGCTCCCACGGGACACATGAAAATAGGAGCAAACTTTTGAGGGGAAGAGTTTTATTTTCATTTTTCATTGTGCAACATTGTAATAGATGAAGCAACAGGCCACAGAGAAAACAAGTTGATACTTGAGCTGCTGTAAATGAGGAATAACTTTTAAACATTTTGGATCATTTCACCCGGTTCTCCTTCAGGCCGTCAACCCAATCAGGTAATTACTCTAATCTATATATATTTTTTATAATTCATAACATGTTGGAAGAGTAGAAATGCATTAGAATAGTTTTAATGCATGTATTTTTTGCTCATTCTCTTATGTTACATCAGTGTGCAGTGCAAGTTAATTTTGGATGCAGTAAAAAAAAAAATGGTAATGTCTTTAGAGTGTTACATCAATTCTTAATAATTTTGGGAGCATAATTTATTCAACAGGCCATTTAGGAGTCGTGTACCTCAAGCATTATGAAAGGTTTATTAGTCTAAGAAAAAAAAAAGCTTAGTGAAAAACCAGCTTAGTTCTTTCTGTCGTCATTGATCAAGTAGACACCATTGAGTTGAGTGAGGGTTGGTCCTTTGTCTTGCTTCAGGTGAAAGATGGCGGAGCGGAGGAAAGTGGACTATAATGTCCACAGAGACGTGCTCCATGAGGAGACTGTGGACAGTCTCTACAACCCAATTCACCACACAACCACAGTCACAGAGAAGATCAAGAAGTCTGTCAGGTAAAGCATACAGTCATTTTTGTTTACCGTATATTTGAGTTTAGTCGTGGAAAAGTCCTTTAGTGGTACAATGTTTTTGTATATTGACAATATTGATACATAAGTGCAAGTACTGTCAAATGTTACCCAAAAATAATAATAAAAGCAGCTTTATCAAGAAGCGTCACATTTCTTTCCTCTAAGATACTGATAGGGAGAGGGTCCGAAGGTGTGAGGGTCCAATAAACACACAAGTCTCTATTGCCCAAGCTTTAAAACTGACCGTTCTTTTTGTCAATATAACCTTTGACAAATGGTTTGAATTTTAACTTTGTGGCATATAATATATGAAAATATATCAGGTGAGTTTTAATGTCACAAATTGTCAGGCCTGATTTCAATGCTGGAAAAGAGTGACTTGAAAATCAAAAGGCTTCTTTGATTAGAAAGGCCACAATAGAATCAAACCTCATTAAAAAAATACTCTGTTGGAGTGGCCGTTTCCAAATCACCCGCAATCAACACAATACAACTCACCAATAATACAGCCTTAGAAACTGCATTTAACCATTTATTGTTCACTCCTTCACACAAATAATTAGTTTTTATGTTTGTTTTTCTTTTATAACCCTAGTTTTTCAATGATAGGCATATACTAAATGGTTGAGATGCAGTTTGAGGGTAAAAGTGCCAAAACCAAGTGATAGAGATGTCCCAATGAGGTAGATTTTAGTTCCAAGCTTCTAGTAGATATAGTGACTCAAAAAATGATCTACCAAATGGATCAAATGGAGGAAACCATTAAAGGGTTATCCCTGTTCCATTCTAGATTTTTCTTCTTAATTGGATGTGGCAAATGTGAAATGGTTCACATTGTCTTCTACCCTGCATTAGTCCTGTACTGTAAACATTACGCATTTTCTTCATTCGCTCCTTTCTGCAGCTGCTCTGGTCCCAGGCTGAAGAGGTGCATTGTGAGCAGTGTGCCGGTGGTATCATGGCTGCCACAATACCCCGTCAGAGAGAATGCACTGGGGGACCTCATCAGTGGCATCAGCGTGGGAATCATGCAGCTCCCACAAGGTAAGAGAAAGAGCTGTGAAAGTAATGAGAGGTTGGATAGTCCTGGTGCCTTGCCCGGTGCATATTGAGTTTTTGTGAATGAGTTATGTGGAGATAAAATGGTGTGTCTCGTTTCAGGGATGGCTTATGCGCTCCTGGCATCAGTCCCAGCGGTCTACGGCCTGTACTCGTCCTTCTACCCGGTTCTAATATACTTCATCTTTGGCACCTCTAAGCACATATCCGTGGGTTGGTATTGTGTGGATATAATATGAAACATTTGGGAACTCTCCTCCACGAAATTGGTGTAAATCCAGGAAATATTCACTTGTCAAAAGCCAAAAAGCAACATTTAGATCATTTGTATCATTGTATCCTGTTTTGTCCTGTATTTGCTACTTTGGTGCACATAACATTTCTGCCTCACCTACGTTACTCTTTTTATGCATAACAACAACATAATATAACATTTGTCCACTGTCAGCCATGCTAGAACATTCTGTATTAAAATGTGTTATAAATGAATCAATAGTGTGGAAAATGGCCTTCAGATCAACATTTCCATATACAGACCTTCAACCTTGAGGGAGATTCATTTCCACAGACGCTGCCACATGCATACAAGAGTTAAATACATTGTTGATGGTGTTTTCCTCGCTGTTCAGGCACATATGCAGTGATGAGTGTGATGATTGGAGGAGTGACGGAACGATTAGCTCCAGATTCAAACTTTTTGGAAAATATAACGGGAGAGGCCGTAATCAACACCACGCTCCGGGACGCAGAGAGGATCAAAGTGGCAGCTGCAGTCACATTTCTGTCTGGGATATTTCAAGTAAATAATTTACAGTATATTTACTCATTTACCATTTTCAAATGAGTGGGTGCATTGGCGGTCACCAATTAACCAGCAGTGGACAAGACAATTTATAGACAATCCAAACCAATTTTACCCAATTATTCCTAGTTTCTAGACTTCTGTAATTCAATGTAGAAATAATATATGACTCATTTCAAAGTGAGATATATCAAGCCTTTAGAATGTTGAATTACATAGATTAATTAACGTATGAGTTTTATTACTGCTAACACTGTAACTCTTCAAAACACAATTTGTAATGTTGCCGACACACCCTGCTAAAACCCATGTATAAATACAAATTCTCCCTCACTGTGAACTGTGAGTATTATTTGTTTGGCTGATCCCTGAAATCAAAGGTTCCCCTTGTCTCCCAAAGGTGCTGTTAGGCCTGGTGCAGTTTGGCTTTGTGGTCACATATCTGTCAGAGCCGCTGGTCCGTGGGTACACCACCGGAGCCGCCATCCATGTCATCGTCTCCCAGCTCAAGTACACTTTTGGGATCAGCCCAACGAGGTTCAGCGGACCCTTGGCTCTCATTTATGTAAGAAATATTCATTGTTTTGTGCAAGCTCAGTCTACAGTTGACTACAGATCAACAAACACATAACAATAATCTGTGAACAACAACTATTCCGTTTCTTAAGAAGCTATGTAGAGATAGCTGGCTTTTCTACTCAGTCGTGGTGGACCAAATCCTCATCCTTTGAATGGATTATAGGTGTCATAAGCTGTAGTGGTTCTTTTGGTACCTCCCTCTATTCTTCCCAATAATATCTGCTTTGTTCGCGACACAAATATGGAACATAACTGCTGAAAGAAAAGGGTAATTCAAACTTCCACTCACTCACATCCTTTTTTCATCACAGCTTTTATTCTTTTTTGTTTGTAGAATTGTGTTTGTATTAACACTGTTTGCGGTGACAAATCTTGAACGCGGTTTTTGTGCAGGATCAATTTTGAGATCTAAAATGCCTGAATGGTATAATATCGATTCACTTGTGTTGTATGTATTATGATTTAATAGCAATCCATAGCACAATACGTTTTCTTTTTCTGGTACAATTACTCATGACTCTATCGATAGTGTCCCAAAAAAAAAACTGTTTATCATGCAGGCCAGCTACACATTTCTCTTATTATTCTTTCACATTCTTCCACAGACTGTGTTAGAAATTGGCTCTCTCATGCCTGAAACCAACCTGGGCACTCTGGAGGTCAGTGCGGTCGCCATAGTGTTCCTGATTTTGGCCAAAGAACTCAACACGTATCTGGGAAAATGGCTGCCTGTGCCTATACCCGTGGAGCTGATAGCCGTAAGAATGCACGTTCATGGAATGTACATGTAATTTGTATTTGTGTACTAATTTTATGGTACTTTTTTATGCTGTTGTTTCATAGATTGTTGTAGCCACAGTGATCTCGTGGCAGGTGGATTTGAATGCCCGATACGGAATTGATGTGGTGGGCGACATCCCGTCTGGGTAAAATTATTGGTCTTAATATAGAGTAAATTGAATGTGTGGAAGTTTGTTAGAAGTTTGTTAGCACAGAAGGTATGCTTAGATTTTACACATAAACGCACAAATGTTAGTTTTTCCTTTACTTTTCCAGTATACATTTTTGACATGAAGTACTATAAAACTATTTTCAAAACTTTTACTAAAAAACTATTTTGCGTGTTGACCACTATTATATCTAAAAAATGAAAACAAAAATGGCAGAACAATATTTAAACCAGGCCTATAAGAAGGCGTTAAAGGTATTAAACAGGACTGCAATGTTATTATTAATCTAAAAAAAGATTAAGCCGAGGAAGCACAGCAACATGGATTCAAATGAACCACTGGAAGGAGCTTGCATACCACCAATGGTAAAAAGCCATCGCACAGAACCAAATAAATTACGATACAGTGTCACAATTTTTTGCACAGATAATTCTTGAAAATACAAAGTAAAATGTTTGGCAAAGTTTTCCAATGATCACTTCTTTTGTCACACAGCCTGCGGCCCCCCGCGCTCCCCGACGTCTCCCTCTTCAGTCAGGTGATCGGAGACGCCTTCGCCATTTCTGTGGTTGGCTATGGACTGGCCATTTCTCTGGGGCGAATCTTTGCTCTCAAGTATGGATACAAGGTGGACAGCAACCAGGTAAGTAACCCCAAAGTTTATACAAATAAATTCATACAGTGCATTAATAATAATCATAAGAATTATAATAATAATAATAATACATCAAGCTGTATACATATATTTGATTAGAAAACATGTTATTATTTGCATACTTACTAGCACACAGAAAACATATATCCCTATTTGAATCTTTGTGCTGATAATTGACTGGCTGAATGAGGTCTTTCTCGCTTTTCTGAAAAATACATGCTTACATGTGAAAACCAATGATAGAATCAAATTGTTTTACCGACTGGATTGTATTACATATTACATGTGTTGTGGTTGAAAGTTACATACCCCAGACATAATTATCCTTTCTGACAATTGTGTAATATAGGAGGCAACATTATTCATACATTTCACTTCAATCAAGCCACTTTTGGGGTCTTTGGTGGCTTTGGAGACATCAGTGACATGGTCTTTGATACATCATCATAGCCCATGTCTCTGTGTCTCATGAAAAGTAGTATGCATTATAATTATTATGATTATGTTATTCAGAAATGTTTAGAAATGGGTTTTAGGATTGTATAAAGGCATATTTTAATTGTCATGTTTTAATTTGGGGCCCCGCCTACATGTAACTTCCTGGGAGTTCCCTTGTACAAAACACCTACAAACTTTACAAATAGAATGTGTATAAGTTGTACGGCTATGAAGTTTTGTAAATAAAAATAATTGAATCATTATTATTATTAGGAGCTGATCGCACTGGGTTTGAGTAACACCTTTGGGGGGATCTTCCAATGCTTTGCCATCAGCTGCTCTATGTCCAGGTCGATGGTTCAAGTCAGCACTGGAGGAAAATCTCAGGTCTGCACACGCTTCAAATGTTGTCTTAAGCCAAAAACCAAATTCTCCTCATTGTCGTTGTTTGCAGGTGGCTGGCGCTCTGTCTGCTGTGGTCATCCTCATCATCACTCTGTGGATTGGACAGCTCTTTGAGGATCTGCCCAAAGTAATGCATTAAGCCAACGCCAAATATTATAAAGCTGCAAATACATTTTTGGCATTAGTCCATGTTTTGATGCTTTGTCCAGTCAGTGTTGGCCGCCATTATCTACGTGAACCTGCAAGGGATTATGAAGCAGTTTATGGACATCCCATCTCTGTGGAAGACTAACAGGATTGACATGGTATGGATAAATGACAGCGTGTATGATTTATTAAATACAAAATGTATTGTAGAGAAGAAGTATATGCACTTTTGTTGTATTAGCTGTAGTCCGGTATCTTTCTCATTTCAAAATGCAGCTTTGTGGTATTTTTCCCTTTCTCTGGTTCTGTTGAAAGTCTGCTCCAGTTGAGGCTCAAACTCACAACCTCAGCATCCCTCCACAAGTTAACTGAACGACTGCGCCAATGGAGCTTCTACAGAAGTGAAAAAGAAATGTCATGAAATGAAAAGCACAAATGAACAACAATTTGAAATGTGTCTGATGGAATTCGGAAATAACGGTGAAGGACGACAATGTATTAATGACACTGCAGAATATAATGAGTATTATAGAAGAACACCTGCTCCAGGTGAGGCTCGAACTCACAACCTCGGCATCACTCTGCAGGTCACTGTCATTAAAACAAGACATTTTGGAGATAAAGGCTATTTCAGCCGCCCATACTGTGCAATTCTTTTTTTTTTGACCACATGCAAACTAAGGCGGCAGGCATCAGATAATTAAACCTGAGCAAGACTGTTCTTCTGTGGGGCTCATTTGTATTGACTATTCCTCTCCTTGATGTCTTTCTACAGGAAGTAGATCCTGTCAGTGTAGATTGAATGACTTCACAGAGACGTATTTCTGAGTGTAAACTACCGATTCATACATTAAAACATGTCAAATGCTCCAGGTGAGGCTCGAACTCACAACCTCGGCATCACTCTGCAGGTCACTGTCTTATAAGTACCGCGCGCTGACCGATTGCGCCACTAGAGCTTTGTTATGTCTTATATGAGCCTTGAATTTAGGGTTTAGAAACAATTGTCAGAGCAAAGAAGCCAAGAGAAGCCAAGAGAATGAGTTGATAAAAGATCTCGCAGCTCGTTCACTCGAAGGGAATAAAACTCTGGAGTTGAGATTGAATGACATCGTTTGCCAGGCTTGAACTCTCTGACCCGGCTTGGATTTGCCCCTGTGTACGGGGTCTGAGGGCGCCGCAATTCGGTTTAATTGGATTTAATAGAATATCTGCCTGCTTTTAACTGCTACATTGCATTAATATTGTCCCCCTGAGGCGATGTGTTTTCTCCTCCTGTGCCTTCTCTCCACTCTTATCTCACATTCCTCGGCCAAGGCCATAATAACAAAAGTCCCATCTAGTAAGTAAGTAAGTAAGTAATGTTTATTTATATACCGCCTTTCACAGACAAGGGTCACAAAGCGGTTTACAATTGTTATTATTATTTTTTTGGGCACTTGTCCTCTCACTCCAGACAGAGATGGGAGCGGGGTCGCCGAACAGAAGGCGCATGCCAGACCTATATTGTACATATTTTTAGTGGTAGGGGAAACCGGAGTACCCGGAGGAAACCTACACAGACACGGGGAGAACATGCAAACTCCACTCAGAAAGGCCCTGGTCCGGCCGGGATTTGAACCCAGGACCTTCTTGCTGAGAGGCGAGAGTGCTATCCACTCAGCCACCGTGCCGCCCAACATCTACAACAACTCACACTATTCAGTCTCCAGCTTGGATCCCCTACCCCCGCCTCCCTCTACCTATCCATCTTGCTCCCTCCCTCCCCTCCACTCCTCACTGTGTTTCCGACTCACCCCCCTCCCTGACCCCGCCCCCCTCTGACAGCCACATTGGCCGGCTGTCGGAGGTGCTCATCCCGAGAAAAAATCCGTGCTTTATACAAAGTACAATGTGTCTATCCAACTGTCTGTGAAACGGTATGTTATTGCTCTCTGCTGTTTATTCTACTGTTTGTCGCATGGCGCCGTAAAGATGGCGCCGTGGCAAGAGCTCTGGTGTGTGTCGTCTTCTCTGTCTGGTGCACACCGGGGTAGTCTTGCACAGTTTTTCCAATGTGGTTTTACTGCAAATGGCAAATAAATGAATCTGAATCTGAATCTGAGAATTAACAAAAAGCATCAAAAACATTCCAAGATAATTTGGAGATGAAGATTCATTTTAGTTTGAATGACTTCACCTGTATATGTTTCTGACTGTAAACAACAGATTCATGCATTAAAACTTCTCATGCTCCAGGTGAAACTCGAATATCCAACCTCAGCATCCCTCTGCAGGTCACTGTCTTATAAGTACCACGCACTGACCGATTGTGCCCCTGCAGCCTTTAGTGAAAAGAAAGAAGTCTAAAAAAACATCCAAGACTTTTGCCGACCTTTTGGTGATAAAGACTGAGCTTGAACTCACAACCTCGGCATCACTCTGCAGGACACTGTCTTATAAGTACCGCGCGCTGACCGATTGCGCCACTGGAGCTTTTGATTATAAAATATATTTACTCAATTCAGGGTTTAGAAGATACCCTTCATCCTGAGAATATGAAATTGAAATGTCATTAAAACAAGACATTTTGGAGATAAAGGCTATTTCAGGCCGCCCATACTGTGCAATTCTTTTTTTTTTGACCACATGCAAACTAAGGCGGCAGGCATCAGATAATTAAACCTGAGCAAGACTGTTCTTCTGTGGGGCTCATTTGTATTGACTATTCCTCTCCTTGATGTCTTTCTACAGGAAGTAGATCCTGTCAGTGTAGATTGAATGACTTCACAGAGACGTATTTCTGAGTGTAAACTACCGATTCATACATTAAAACATGTCAAATGCTCCAGGTGAGGCTCGAACTCACAACCTCGGCATCACTCTGCAGGTCACTGTCTTATAAGTACCGCGCGCTGACCGATTGCGCCACTAGAGCTTTGTTATGTCTTATATGAGCCTTGAATTTAGGGTTTAGAAACAATTGTCAGAGCAAAGAAGCCAAGAGAAGCCAAGAGAATGAGTTGATAAAAGATCTCGCAGCTCGTTCACTCGAAGGGAATAAAACTCTGGAGTTGAGATTGAATGACATCGTTTGCCAGGCTTGAACTCTCTGACCCGGCTTGGATTTGCCCCTGTGTACGGGGTCTGAGGGCGCCGCAATTCGGTTTAATTGGATTTAATAGAATATCTGCCTGCTTTTAACTGCTACATTGCATTAATATTGTCCCCCTGAGGCGATGTGTTTTCTCCTCCTGTGCCTTCTCTCCACTCTTATCTCACATTCCTCGGCCAAGGCCATAATAACAAAAGTCCCATCTACAACAACTCACACTATTCAGTCTCCAGCTTGGATCCCCTACCCCCGCCTCCCTCTACCTATCCATCTTGCTCCCTCCCTCCCCTCCACTCCTCACTGTGTTTCCGACTCACCCCCCTCCCTGACCCCGCCCCCCTCTGACAGCCACATTGGCCGGCTGTCGGAGGTGCTCATCCCGAGAAAAAATCCGTGCTTTATACAAAGCACAATGTGTCTATCCAACTGTCTGTGAAACGGTATGTTATTGCTCTCTGCTGTTTATTCTACTGTTTGTCGCATGGCGCCGTAAAGATGGCGCCGTGGCAAGAGCTCTGGTGTGTGTCGTCTTCTCTGTCTGGCGCACACCGGGGTAGTCTTGCACAGTTTTTCCAATGTGGTTTTACTGCAAATGGCAAATAAATGAATCTGAATCTGAATCTGAGAATTAACAAAAAGCATCAAAAACATTCCAAGATAATTTGGAGATGAAGATTCATTTTAGTTTGAATGACTTCACCTGTATGTGTTTCTGACTGTAAACAACAGATTCATGCATTAAAACTTCTCATGCTCCAGGTGAAACTCGAATATCCAACCTCAGCATCCCTCTGCAGGTCACTGTCTTATAAGTACCACGCACTGACCGATTGTGCCCCTGCAGCCTTTAGTGAAAAGAAAGAAGTCTAAAAAAACATCCAAGACTTTTGCCGACCTTTTGGTGATAAAGACTGAGCTATTTCAGTCGCCCATTCTGTGTGTTTCTTTTATTTTTGACCAAATGCAAATGCTCCAGGTGAGGCTTGAACTCACAACCTCGGCATCACTCTGCAGGACACTGTCTTATAAGTACCGCGCGCTGACCGATTGCGCCACTGGAGCTTTTGATTATAAAATATATTTACTCAATTCAGGGTTTAGAAGATACCCTTCATCCTGAGAATATGAAATTGAAATGTCATTAAAACAAGACATTTTGGAGATAAAGGCTATTTCAGCCGCCCATACTGTGCAATTCTTTTTTTTTTGACCACATGCAAACTAAGGCGGCAGGCATCAGATAATTAAACCTGAGCAAGACTGTTCTTCTGTGGGGCTCATTTGTATTGACTATTCCTCTCCTTGATGTCTTTCTACAGGAAGTAGATCCTGTCAGTGTAGATTGAATGACTTCACAGAGACGTATTTCTGAGTGTAAACTACAGATTCATACATTAAAACATGTCAAATGCTCCAGGTGAGGCTCGAACTCACAACCTCAGCATCACTCTGCAGGTCACTGTCTTATAAGTACCGCACGCTGACCGATTGCGCCACTAGAGCCTTGTTATGTCTTATATGAGCCTTGAATTTAGGGTTTAGAAACAATTGTCAGAGCAAAGAAGCCAAGAGAAGCCAAGAGAATTAACAAAAGGCATCAAAAACATTCCAAGATATTTTGGAGATGAAGATTCATTTTAGTTTGAATGACTTCACCTGTATGTGTTTCTGACTGTAAACAACAGATTCATACATTAAAACTTCTCATGCTCCAGGTGAAACTCGAATATCCAACCTCAGCATCCCTCTGCAGGTCACTGTCTTATAAGTACCACGCGCTGACCGATTGTGCCCCTGCAGCCTTTAGTGAAAAGAAAGAAGTCTAAAAAAACATCCAAGACTTTTGCCGACCTTTTGGCGATAAAGACTGAGCTATTTCAGTCGCCCATTCTGTGTATTTCTTTTATTTTTGACCAAATGCAAAGTAAGGGGGCAGGCATCAGATAGTTAAACCTGAAAAACATAGACTGTCTTTCTGTGGTCATGACCCAGTGGTGCACAGTGCATCTCAATTGTATTTACTTTGTATTTAGGTACTACCTTTCCAGAGGAAAGAGTTCCTGA